AAAAAGACAGAGAAATAATATAATATAAAGAAATGTTTTTGTCATATAGCGTAAAACTCCTTTTGGACACTCTTAGCTTGCATGCAGTAGATAATTGACAGTTGGCTTACTGATTATGAACATTGGGCCAATAGGTTAGTGGTAGTGGCAATAGATGTTACGTACTATTCATTTATATCCCATCTCATACTCTCTTTCACTTTACACCTATTACCCTGCACCATCCATTATAGGTGCCTATCCATATATTATAATATTAGTTTTTTTCATAGTACAACAATTCGTTTGATTCGAATTGATACTAGATTAAACTACTTGTTAAACTTGCTTGGAACATCATGACTAGTTTAATTAATTCCAACTCGTTATTGAATCGCTTTGTGACCCGAGCTTGTGTGACATGTTGGTTTGTACTAGTGTTCTCCTCGTGTTATAAGCCCGGTTAAAAAGAATACGGAGATTTGTAGTTTAGTGATTTGTACTAGCATCGCTATCGCTGTGATGTCGTAATTCGGAAATGTGCTTATGTGAGTTGTTGTAAGAAACTAAAACATATACTTTATAGCTACTACACATGAATCCCAAGATCAACACTAATAAAAAGGCCATTAGGTTAACTCCCATTAAACGATACTTAAGCCTATGCTATTAAGGCCAAAAGACTCCAAGTCATAGTTTCATGGTTCCATGTTCATAATGTACATTCTAGACCAACTACATGAATTACACAAAAGACATGTCTGAATCAAATTAACTATTTTCACTATTTGAGCAAATCTAAATTCCGTTCCTTTTACCGTTTCCATATTTTTTTTGACATTGTGCTACCTTTGCGGGTGCCTTACCGGTCTGTCTGTGGCATAAGTAGTCAGTTGGACTCTTCATTAGAATGTTCCGTAGTCTCTATGTTTGTTGCCATTTTCTCTTCTTCTGCCTCAACTTTTAATTTCTGCCACAAGTATATATTAAGATATCGTCACAACGTTTGGCATTACAATCGAATTAAGTTTCTGGGGCAAACGATCATGGAAAGTGAGGACTTACTTTAGATAGTGCAAACATGTTTGCATACAGCTTAGCGTCTCTTCTGTCGCTCTCAGCTTTAGCGAGTTTCAGCGTTTTGTAAAGGGACTTCACTTCCCTGAAAACATAAAGTGTCAGTGCATAATATGCCCAGAAGAAACGAGGATGCAATCAACAACATACGCAGTTTTTTCTTTTACCGATTCTCAGGATCAGCCTCCAGAGCCTTTTTTATATCCATTTCTGCTGAAATCAAATCTCCCACCTCAATATAGGATTGTGCTCGCCTATACAAAGCTTTCACATTTTGGAACTCAATATCTAACACCTGTGACAAATAAATATGAGAAGTTCACAATATATCTGATAGAAATATTTCCAAGATCATGTACATGTCATAGAAGTAACTTGCTACTCATTCAACAGAATGGCACACAGAACATCTACTGGACGTTAAAACTACTCAAAAGTAAAATATTGCATAACTAAGACAGAAAAAAGAAAGCCACCACCAAGTCTCATTAGAGATGAATCTACTTCTTTTTTTCTTTAACTTGTTTACCTCCGAACATAGAATGATAGTTTCCCGAAAATTCTTTAGTTTTAGACTACAGGCTGCAGCATTCAAGAAGCAAGATACTCTCAAAGCCTTGACTTGCTTTTCTTCATCACCTTCAAATTTGCCAGTCTCAATAAAATCTGCAGCCTGTAAACATATATTATCATGTTCCAAGTATACATGTCGGGGATTCCAATGGTATATGTCAAGTGTTTGTTCAATATGTCTCCTTTAGTATTAAACTTGGTTAGTTTCCAGATTTAATAAGGAGAAAACGTGGTAGAACTCTACATACGTAGGTATCTTGTGTTAGTCTCAATAATTCTGGTGAATCACCTTATTATATTTCTTTGCTGCTCGCTGGTACTTTTGATTTTTGTATAGCAGATTGCCTTCTTCTTTCTTTCTATTAGCAGCCTCTATCTTCTCTTCATTGTTCATCTCCCTTGGTGTTTTCTCCTGTTCTCAACGAAACAACAGAAAAACTTAGTGGTCTACAAGATTTTAAATAAACATTTTCCATGAGTAATTTCAGAGATATATTGCCGATATGAAACATAAGTTATGCAAAATGTAACTCCAACAAAATGAAGAACTCCATCTCCAGAAATGTGACTTTAAGATTCAGCGTAAATGTCTGTTTTGACGAGGGAGTACATTTCACATTTTCTTAAGCTATCAACCAAATACAGGAAAAGTTTTGCTATGGACATAATAGAGAGTTGATAGAATGACAAACTCAGAGCTCAATACCCAGTACTTCCAAGTCCCAGTAGTAGCTATTACCTTGACAAAGTCTAACATTTCAACTTCATAGATGAGAGTTGAACATTGTGGGACTTTAGCAAGGTCACGTTGGACTTCCACATTTCCAAAACCATACTCAGGACTTATTGTCAATATCGCCTTTTCCCCTTTCTTCATTGTTGCAGCAGCTTTGTCTAAGCCAGTGATGACTTGCTCTATATATAGTAAAACAGAAACCAAGTAAGAAATTCAAGTTTGTGTGCTGAGAGTAAATTCAGTTATCAGGGTCTAAATAATTATTAGAATACATTAACTGACCTTCATCTGTTACAAAAACAAGTGGCTCTTCCTCCCCAACTCCTTTCCTTTCGAATATAGTTCCACCCTCTAGCTTTGCAACATAACTGACTGCACGAAACTAACCACTATGTTAACCCATTATGTCTATTGTACAACCAATTTTCCAAATTTAGAGACAAAATCGAATTTAAGATAAAACAATTCCATAGCTTTGCATTTTACTAGACAAAAAAATTACACTTTCAAAGGAAAATTCACATGAGTATCTAAGAGCAAGATGGAAACTCTATTCTGATACAGTCAAAAGTATAAGTTAATTTATAGTGGATCTACTAAATAAGCATCCTTTCATTTTTCTCATCAAAGGTAAGGGAGATGGCTAAGTTACACAACTTATAAAGTTCTAGTTGAGGGAGATATATAGGAAAACAATTGATCCAACTCTTATCCTATCCGGCCTTGAATGCTAGCAGCAGAATTAGCCCTTCTACATTTCATGATATTAAAACAATTTTCAAGACAACAGAACCGTCCAATGCATACTTGCTTATGTCCCTCAGAGTTGTCAATATATATGTGTAACACACTTACCAGTAACAGTGGCACCATCATCTGCAACACTTGTGCCTTCACCATCTCTCATAATTTTCTTGACAACCTTTGAATCGCCCACGACATCAATAACAGGTTTATAGGACACCAGCACTAGATCAATATTTAGCACAGAATTTGGTGGAACAACATTGATATTCCCACTTGAACTTCGTCCTTCTTCTCCAAAACCATCTGCACATTTATCAGATTCAAGCAAAGAATTTCACAATAACCAAAACCTAAAACTTCAGGAGTAACATCACCACATACATTGAGGCTGGACAATCAATTTGACCTTTTCTCCAGGACGCATAGTTACAATTGCCAGAGGCAATGCTGGGCAGAGATGACCTAAAAACCAACGCATACCTACTTAGAAATGAAAAACAAAAAGACTACTTAATAACTCTACATGGATCGTAGTTTAAAGTCGAATACCATCATTCAAACAAAACTCAATGCCTTCATCCAGTGATTTGGCCACAACAGCACCATCACGAAGCTCAACTTGGTACTTCACTGCAACAATGAAAACAAAGTATCGGTCATTATTATTAGCAGTTCAAGTGTGTCATACAAGTAGATACAAATATCTATGAGATACATACTAACCAAGAACTTCATCCAAATCACTAGGCTTCCCATTCTTTTCGCCTTTCTCTAGAATTTTCTTGATAATACCTCCATCTCTACGAACATCGACAACATCAATCCACGAGAAAAGTTCGATTTCAAACTGAATAACAGAATCTGGAGGCACATTATCACATCCCTCAGCTCCATAACCTTGATCAGCAGGTAAAGTGAACAATGCAATTTCTCCTTTCTTCATTGTCATAATGCAATTTCCTAAACCTCGAGGAGCCCTAACTACAAACAAACAAACAAAATTGAATTGGATCAATCAATTTCAGAAAACAGTGTATCAACTAAAGAAAGGAAACAAATCTCACCTTCATCAACCTTTAAAGTTAGAGTTACAGGTTCACTCTTATCTCTTGTTGTATAGAAGATTGTTCCATCAAGCAATGTACCAACGTAATGAACTGTGAATTGTTTCCATCAAAATCAATCATCTGAAACGTGAATGCGATTTAAGAGAGAGTCGTAGAAAGAGAACCTGTGGCTTCAGCACCGTGTTCAGGAGTTTCGTAGCCAGTACCGAGTTTAAGCATCTTCTTCTTGAACTGAAGAGCACCGAGAACTCTTTCTTCTCCGATTTGGAGAGGAGGAGCTGATTCGATGACTTCACCTTCTTCCTCCTCAAGTTCTTCGTCTTCCGACGAGGAATTTCGAGGTGCTCCTAGAGCTATGGCTGATGAATCCATGGCGGATTTTGAGGATTGATTTCTTCAAAGGTCGGTGGAGGAGTTACAGAGTCCAAGTGTGAGCAAAAACGAACATTCGAGACGAAACCAAAATCAGGAAAGGAAAATACTCAATTCGAAAACTACGTCGTTTTCTTTTCAAAATTTATTTTAGTTTTCGATATGAGAAGGCCCAATAGCTTATGTTTCATTGGTACCCATTTTATCAAACCCAATAACATAAACAACAAAATATGTTCGTTAAATACTTTTTACTCACCTCGCGATATTTGATTTTTTGTCGTTACACTTTGAGATTACCAACACGAATATTGTAGGATGTCAATGACAAATTGCCAGCTTAAATTAACTTGGACTTTTCCTAAAAGTTAAAAAATCAAATAAAAATAGAAAAAAATTAGCAAACAGAATTTATATACACTTATTACTTCTCCTTTCTCGTTGTTTCCGCAGAAAGCAAAAATTCTCTGTAAAATCAGAACGATGATGGAGTCACAATTATGGAATTGGATCTTACCTCTTTTGATCTCTTCTCTCTTCATCTCCATCGTCGCTTTCTATGGATTTTTCGTTAAACCGAAACGGAATAGTATCCGTCACGATCGGACTGTTTCTACCGTCACTTCCGACGTCGGATCTGTTAATATTACCGGAGATACTGTCGCCGATGTCATTGTTGTTGGAGCTGGTGTTGCTGGTTCTGCTTTGGCTTATACTCTTGGAAAGGTTAGTTTTAAGGATACGAATTAGGTGGTGATAGTTTTTGTGGATTTGATTCTGGATTTGAAATTTTAGAGAATGAGTGCTGAAACATTGTAATGTAGTACCAATTGTTGCTTTTTCAAAGCGATTTTTTTTATTCTGTGATTGTGTATTGAATCCAGTTCTGGTTTCGTTGATTGATTGATTCAAATCCATGATTCTTTGTTACCAAAAAAAAAAAAAATCTATGATTCTGAAAACAAGTTGTTTCACACAATTCACGAGTTCTTGTGATTAGTATGGTCATTGGTTAACTCAACACTGTTTGAGATTTATTTTGGGGAAATGATTCACACAATGCTCGACTCCTTTTTTTCTTGAAAACAAGTTATTTCACACAATGCACGAGTTCTTGAGATTTAGCATGGTCAACGAACACTCTTTGATTTTTTTTGGGGAAATGATAAAATTTATTGCTCTTCTTTGACTTTTAAGGGTTAATATAAGTTATCCAATTGCTGAATTAGTAGTAGCCACTAGCCAACCACTTTACAAAATAGGTTTAAATGCTGTTTTGGTTATTCCTTTGTGAATTTAATTTATTGGTTTATGTCTAGGGATTATCATTTTTGACAGTTCTCTTTGCAGCAAGAAGTCCTAAATCGGACAGTCTTTTGTGATGTTGTTATGTTGTAGGATAAACGTCGAGTTCACGTGATTGAAAGAGATTTATCGGAGCCTGATCGCATTGTTGGAGAGTTGTTACAGCCTGGAGGTTACCTAAAGTTACTGGAGTTGGGAATTGAAGGTATTTGGTTGAGAATCCGTAGGGAAATTCTTTCTCACATCTATTGTGCTTTGTAGTTGTTTACTAGTAATGACATCTAGAGTGCTATATACAGATTGTGTGGAGGAAATAGATGCTCAGCGTGTGTATGGTTATGCACTTTTTAAGGATGGAAAACGCATTCGCTTAGCTTATCCTTTAGAGAAGTTTCACGAAGATGTATCGGGAAGGAGCTTTCACAATGGACGCTTTATACAAAGAATGCGGGAGAAAGCTGCTTCACTTCCCAAGTACGTTTTCTCTTTTATAAATGCATCCATGTGTTATGGGCCTTTTATCCTTTTGCTTGCTCTACCTAGAATTACTAGAAATTTCATTGTTTTGATCCCATTTTTTGAAATAGTATTAGTTTATGTTAAAACTAAATGAAGATGTATAAAACATTGTTTTTGAACTTATCAATACTTTTCTTAAATTGTTCTCAGTTGGTTGATACACCGATCTGTTCTTGATATGAGGCAATTTTGTGTACTGCTAATGGCTGTTTCTAATGATTCCTGTACTTAACAGTGTTCAGCTAGAGCAAGGAACAGTTGTATCTCTTCTAGAAGAGAATGGGACTATCAAAGGTGTGAGATATAAGAATAAAGCAGGGGAGGAACAAACCGCATTTGCTGCTTTGACTATAGTTTGTGACGGTTGTTTCTCAAACCTGCGTCGCTCTCTTTGCAATCCTCAGGTAACATGCTGTTCAATATTGATCTCTGTTTTCTGATATCAGAGTTTACTCTCAGCTGATTTTACAAAGCAAGAAAACTGCATTAGCTTCACAAATAATTAGGATATATCTTTACTATCTTCACCCAGGTCGAGGTGCCTTCTTGTTTTGTCGGTTTGGTCCTAGAGAACTGCAATCTCCCATATGCAAACCATGGACATGTCGTCTTAGCAGATCCATCACCAATTTTGATGTATCCAATTAGTAGCACAGAAGTTCGGTGTCTGGTTGATGTTCCTGGTCAGAAAGTGCCTTCCATTGCAAATGGTGAAATGAAAAACTATTTGAAGACAGTTGTGGCTCCTCAGGTATGAGAGCTTTTTTCACACTGTGCACTTCTCTTCATGGCGTTTTTCTTTTTCTTTGTTGATAAATGTGTGTGTGTTCTCTTCTTGTCTAGATGCCTCATGAGGTCTATGACTCTTTCATTGCTGCGATTGATAAAGGAAATATTAAGTCCATGCCAAACAGAAGCATGCCAGCTTCTCCTTATCCTACTCCAGGGGCTCTGTTAATGGGAGATGCATTTAACATGCGTCATCCTTTGACGGGTGGAGGAATGACGGTTGCATTAGCTGACATTGTTGTCCTGCGTAATCTTCTTAGACCGCTGCGTGACCTTAGTGACGGCGCTAGTCTCTGCAAATACCTCGAATCGTTTTACACTCTGCGAAAGGTAAACATTGCTTGTAGATTAATTTGTCTCCATAAGAACTAAGATAGTTAAAGTTTTTTTTCTGTTGTCAATGTGCGAACCATAGTTTGAAAATCATTTCACTTGCAGCCAGTGGCAGCAACAATCAACACCCTTGCGAATGCTCTTTACCAAGTGTTCTGTTCATCAAAAAATGAAGCAAGAAACGAGATGAGGGAAGCGTGCTTCGATTATCTGGGCCTCGGGGGCATGTGCACAAGTGGACCAGTATCTTTGCTTTCGGGTTTGAACCCTCGACCGTTAACACTTGTGTGCCATTTCTTTGCGGTTGCGATTTATGGAGTCATACGGTTGTTAATCCCATTCCCTTCCCCAAAACGAATCTGGCTTGGAGCCAAATTGATATCGGTATGAATCATACATTATTCAGTTTCATCAGTCTATTTTTAGTTGTATCGGTACGATCTTAATGCTTAAATCGAAAATCGCAGGGAGCATCAGGGATAATATTTCCGATAATAAAAGCGGAAGGAGTTAGGCAGATGTTTTTCCCAGCAACTGTACCTGCATACTACAGAGCTCCTCCGGTTAAAGGAGAAACCAAATGCTCATAGTTCCGATTGATTCTGTCACAAGAAATGCCATCCAAAAGAAAATGAAAGTTGTGGATTGCATCTGGTGAGTTTTTGTTGTGTTAGTGTTCTTTAAACGTATAAAAGTGACAAAACTGTGATGGATTACCTCTGTTTTTTATAGGTTATGATGGTTGTATCTTAGTTGCTAACGCTATACCATTCTTTTACATATCGAAGTCTCTGCGTTATAAAATTTGTTTTCCGCGGTAAAGTCTAACGCTTATATGAGCTTTAATCCGTTTTTCGACCAGTTTTACAAGAGTCAGTTCTTTCTTTACTTGGATCTCGACATTTCCTTAAACTAATTTCGAGCGACAAACGACTACTTCCTTAATTTGATTGATCGGAAACCACTAATTCCATCTTGCTCAGCCTTTTAAAGTAATCGCCGAACTTGGTCCATTTTTTTAAATAACTAAAAGGTTCTAGGCCATTCGAACCAGCAACCTCTAGACTTTACTTCAGATACTTTATCCGTTAAGCTATTCGAACTTAGTCCATTTAACACTTAAATCCATTTCTAATGCTATAGTAAGAATCGATGTTAACTAAACTATTTTAAGGTTAATCGTTACCACACCCCTTTACCAAGTGATCGTAAACCAATTTCTACATAGTACATGCTCATCTACTTCCAAGCAAGAAACCGTCGGAAATTATATAGCCATAAGCCATGTGTGTAACAACGCAAATGACCAAACACAAAGTCTTTTTTGGGTCATAATTGTAATCACTTACCTATTAGGCTATTTTAGATTTAGAATAGACAAGGATTAATTTCAGAAGGAGCACCACATACATAGGCTTAACAAGTCCCCACAAGTCGATCACGTATATGTGGTTGGTTAGTAAATGCACCACGAAGTTAAGAAAACAAGTTGGTAGTTTCGTTTTGTTAATGCGACATAAAGGTTTGGTGGAATAATGCTTTTCAAGGACAATTAGTAGTGATTATTGACGCACCTACAAGATGTTGGTCTATTATCAAACACAATAAATTTCATAACCTGAGTACAAAGAAGTTGTACAAATTGGTCAGCTATATTGAGTGGCACAGAAAAATAAGTGAACTAAATTTGTTGAAGTACAATAATTTATCTAAAGTTGCTACGATTGGTTATTTAACACTAATCAGAAGTGAAAAAATCACCTACAAAAACTCCTTATAAATTCATGACCAAGCAACACAATTCTTTAAATCCATAAAAACAAAAAAACAAATAAAATGGCGACTTCTAAAACTATAACCTTCACTCTCTTCATCACAACAACACTACTTGCGTTCTGCAACGCATCCGCAAACGCCAAAACGCAACCGCTTTTCCCAGCGATTCTAATCTTTGGCGATTCAACCGTCGACACAGGCAACAATAACTACCCTTCACAAACAATCTTTAGAGCTAAACATGTTCCTTACGGTATTGATCTCCCAAGCCACTCACCTAACGGAAGATTCTCAAACGGAAAAATTTTCTCGGACATAATCGCAACCAAACTCAACATCAAACAGTTTGTTCCTCCCTTCTTACAACCAAATCTCACCGACCAAGAAATTGTAACCGGAGTCTGTTTTGCATCAGCAGGTGCTGGTTACGATGACCAAACCAGTCTCACGACACAAGCGATTCGTGTCTCGGAACAACCAAATATGTTCAAGAGTTACATTGCTCGCCTTAAGAGTATCGTAGGTGACAAGAAAGCCATGAAGATCATAAACAATGCTTTGGTGGTTGTGAGTGCAGGGCCTAATGATTTCATCTTGAATTATTACGATGTTCCCTCATGGCGTCGCGTGTATCCTAGCATTTCTGATTACCAAGACTTTGTGCTTAATAGGCTTAACAATTTCGTGCGAGTAAGTCTAAGATATTTTATTTCCTCACTACAAGAAATTAGGGTTTTAGAACCGATGTTAGGGGTTAAAATTTATCAAAATGGTATTTTTTATGAATTAGTCTTTTTAATCTTTAGTATCTTTTTTTTTTACGGTATTTTGTGCAGGAACTTTACAGTCTAGGTTGCCGGAAAATTCTGGTCGGAGGTTTACCGCCAATGGGATGTTTACCGATTCAAATGACTGCTCAATTCCGCAACGTCCTAAGGTTTTGCTTGGAACAAGAGAACAGAGACTCTGTTTTATACAATCAGAAACTTCAGAGGCTCTTATCTCAGATCGAAGCATCTCTTACGGGAAGCAAGATCCTTTACTCTAATGTCTATGACCCTATGATGGAGATGATCCAAAACCCTAGCAAATACGGTATACCTTAAAATACCTTTCTTGTTCCGCAAGTTATCACTATGAGATGATATCGATAGTTGATTATAGCATCCTTGTATGTGGAATTAAAACAGGGTTTAAAGAGACGACGAGAGGTTGTTGTGGAACAGGGTTCTTGGAGACGAGCTTCATGTGTAATGCTTATTCTCCCATGTGTCAGAATCGCTCGGAGTTTCTGTTCTTTGACTCGATTCATCCATCGGAAGCTACCTATAATTACATTGGCAATGTTCTGGATACTAAGATTCGTGGGTGGCTCAAGGCTTAAGATATCACGATTTGCAAAGATTGAACAAAATTTTCTGTTTCATAATGCCACTCTTTGTGGACTTTGTTTGTTAATCAACTATATAACTTTGGCTCTTACTGGTTCTTTTAAATTTTAGCGAAATATGCCACAAAGAAAATCAGTTGAAAAAATAAAAATCACAAACTTCTATATGAGACAGCCGTAAGTGGCAATAGTAACACAAAGCAGCAAGAAACAAGAATGTTTAAGAACCTAAACGGTTTAAAGATATAAATGGTTGTGAGAACATGCTGCATTCATGTTGGGTTAAGCCCAGCAAATTGTTTTTTCTTTAATAGATTATACCGATGGTTATGGTGTTGGCATGTCGTATGTTAGTTGGTATATATGGACATGCAATACATTTAGTCACCGCAAACAAATCATTTTCTTGAATCTGAGAAGAATTTCCAGATTAATAAGGTATGAATTAGGAAGGATTGGTCGCCGAAATATTAATTAGAATTGGCCTGCTACTGACAACACTGGCATACAATTTTTGAATGGGCCATCCTTGTGCTGACTCGACAACGGCACATACACTTCTCCAACCACCTCTGTTATGGTTAGGCACGAATGCAAGGCGCCAGAGCCTAATCGCTTCTGAGATGGCCCTTCTCTGCTGACGTGGCAATTCTTTTGTTCATGGTAATTTATTGCTGCTTAATTGTGTAACTCACATTTTCATTGTGAAATGAATAATTTATATTTTTATCACAAAAAAATAACAAAATAGAATACGGAAAATCTCTTGGGTCATTGGGTCAACTGGGGCCGATGTTTAACGTATTTTTCTACCCAAATCCTTGCACTTTTATTTTGTTTACCATGTGACTGACTGACCCCATGTGTTGCTTGGCTTGGGAGGGGAAAGGCCTGAGAAAAGGTTTATCGATTTTGTCAAGAATACTCTCAAACGAGGACTACTTAGATATAATTATTTGAGTCGAACTATTTAGGTTAAGTTTGATGTTAAACCGCTACGATAACCGTTGATAACCAGTGATGAATTTCTTGCAAACGCAGTTGTTCAACAGCTAAACCGATTGTATAAATCAGTTAAAACAATAGAAACCGCAACCGTCAGCTTCCGAAAACTTTTGCATCCCTATCCACATAAAGTGTTTAATAAGGCCCATAGAGCATGCACATAGTTGGTACTCATAAAGTATCATTAACAATTTTTTAGTATTAATTTTAATATTTATTTATTGTTTGAGAATTTTTGTGATACTAGTAATAAATCTGTTTCCAGTGGTGAGACCGGTATCAGTTTCATTAATAAAAAAAAATTATTTGCAAAATCGAAAATAAATATATAAAAACATAGGATTACAAAAGGTAATATTACAATCCATAAAAACGTAAAATATACTTAGAAGGGTGTATTGGACTTGATATTTTAGGAGATTTGGTGGAATTTGAATATTTTAGATTTTTGAGAGATTTGAGTGAGTTTTTAGAGAATTTGATTATTTATTGGAGTTTTTAAATGTAAAAAAAGAATAATGATTTGTGATTTGGTGAGATTTAGCGGAGGAGAGATGGAATCGAATATACACAGAAGAAATGGAGAGGTGAAATCGGGAAGGAAGAATCGGCGGAGGAGAGGAGAAATGAAAGGAAAAGGGTTTCTAGGTTTTCTCGGTGAGAGGAGAGGAGAGAAGAAATGAATTTTTTTTTTCTCTGCTTTTAGCGTTTTCGCTGAACCAACCGTGTGCTGCCACGTCACCCGATACTCAGTATCAAAGATATCAGTGGACTGATACGGATCAGGCCCAAATACATGCTTTGGTCCATTAAAAATGATTTTTGGGCTTCTGATACTCAAATAATATCACATATGTGCATGGTCTTAGTCTATTTTGTTATAATATTAGATCTTTTAGGCAGAAAAAGGATCTTTTCTTGTTTGCCAAGAAACAATATAATACATTAACAATATAATATTTTAGATTTTGATTTGAAAATGATTTATATTTAGTGGATGAATCCAAAAATAGATAAAGTTTAACAATTCCCACCAAGTCGGCAAGTCAATCACAAACATATATGCTGGTGGTCAGTAAATGGAGTTATGAAAATAAGTTGGTAGTTTCATTTTGTTATTGCGGCAAAAAAGTTTGGTGAACATATGACTTGAACGGTTGAACCACACTAAAGACAAAGCGAAATTAATGTTTTCAAAGAACAATTAATACTTATGCACCCTCAAATTATTGGTCTGCTACGTTAAGTATATTTATTTAAGTGCAACCAGATCACATGACGACACGAGTATATTTGTGTGAACAATTCAGTATTGAGATATAAAAAGTGCAACCAGAAACACAAATTCAATAAATCATCGATTTTCCGTGTTTAGGTGTTACAATATTGCCTTTTCTAAATTTACCAATAAAAAACTCGTATTATTCAAAGAAAACATTAAAAATATATATAGTAAATTTAAATTGCTTAAACCACTAAAACATAAAAGATAAAGAGAGTACATAAAAGTATAAAACACAAGACCATGAAATTGATTATAAAGAGCATGACATATAGCTTAGTGATATATGTTAGTATCGTCGTTCTGTTACTATCTAAATTTAAACTTATGTAGTGCATGTTATTGACAATAAAAAAAATCAAAAAGAGACTAATGGGTAATGTTGATTATCTTATAACGTATTAGGTGATCAAATCAGATTTAACGAATTTTCGATCTACGATCCATATTCTTTCTTTTTGGAAATGAAATCATATATGATAACCTATTAATATTCTTGGCTAGTATAGCCTGTTTCTGTACCACCTGAATTTAGATTCTGGTCCATCTTCTCTAAGAAAAAAATATCTTGGGTCAAATAACTGAACTATATTTTATAGATCACGTAAAAAAACTTTCGTCTCATTTGCTTTTCTTGGTCTAGAAAAGTAGACAAAATTATAATAAGGTAGTTTAATAACAAAAAGCTCATTAGCTGAAAAATCACTATTTTTATATTTTCAACTTTTTTTTATTTATGTTGTTTCCATTTCCACAGCATGTTTTTGTCTTACTTTATTGCTCAAATTAAAATTCTATAATAAGTTTGAGCTTCGGAAAAAACGAACTCATGATGAATGTTCACCAAACGAATTCCTCTAGATTCCTTTACCAAAATATAAAATGAAACTTTAGATTCTGTCGTAATATTTATTATATACGAATTTTTGTTTAAATAATATTGACAGTAACTTTTTTGGTATAAATCCATGACCAGTACCTTTACATCAAAATAATTCCATAACCATGTATAATTAGGAACATTCTTTTAAAATCAAAAGAAAAATAAAAATGACAATTAATTAGTAAATTAAAACTTAGATCCTCTTATAGTAACAGCATGTGATCTGCTACGAGGATATAAGAAATCAGATCCCTTCTTTTGATTCTTTAAAGATCCTTCTTCTTCATCTTCTTCATCAATCCTCGCCATTGTCATCCCAACACTCGAGCTCTTAGGCAAACCGCCTTTAACCGCTCCCATCGCGACGCGATTCTCCTGCCGCTGCTGTTGCTGCTGAAGCTGTTGGTGTATGATCATGTCAATCTCATTCTTATGACCTAAACTTCTAACGGAAGCAGCTCTAAGCAGCTCGCTATAATCATCATCGAAAGTGAAATCGGAAGATCTTCTCCGAGAAGAGGCAGAGGAAGAGAAGGCGGAGGAAGTACTCCGGCTTCTCGGAAAGGGAACGGAGGCGGCGTCGACGGCTGAAGAGTAGTGAGTTCGAGCTGCACAACCTGTGATACTTCTCATGTAGAGATCACGCGCCTTGCATAGAACTTTTAGAGGCATGGTGATGATTCTCAAGAACTTGTTCTGTTTTTGTCCTCTCTTTCCCATTTTTTTTTGTTTTGATGTAATAATGATGATGGGTTTGGTTTTGGAACATGAATTGGTTTTAAGTAGGTAGAGATGTTGTGTAAGGTCAATTTTGAGAAAGGGGAAAAATAGCGTGTTGAAGAAATAAAGAGTGGAACATGGTTTTTGTTGACTTGGTTGTACGGACTGTTGTAGTAAAATTTTGGATACGTCCTCTTTAGTTACGCGGACATTAAATGCTTTTTCTTCGTTATACTATTATATCTCTCTCTTTTCTTTCAAAAAATGTTTCATCTTTTGAAAATAGATATTTTGTATTTTCTTTTGCAAAAACAGAATAACATTTTATAATTTGTCTAAATTACCTAATTAAATCGAAAGTAGGATCAAACGGTTTGTTGAAATTGATAAAAGATTCATCCGATATGTCTAAAAAAAAAAAAAAAAAAAAAAAAAAAAAAAAAGATTCATCCGATATGTCTAATGTCGGAGACCGAGTTCTATCATATACAAAGTTTTTTGAGAATAATTGAAGATTAAATTCGACCCAAAAAATACCTTAATTACATATTAAAAAAGAGAAATTACCTATTAAAAAAATATGATTAGTGAAACAAGAAATTCCCATAAAAGAAAGTAAGGTACCTTTTGTTTACTAAGCTTTTTTATTGTTAAGCTTAGTTAACAAATTATGTATCAAAAGTGTAAAATATCCATCTTTGTGAAAGATGTATGTAACTTGTGTTATGTGTTACTCCAACTACAAGAAAAAACAAAATTTAATTATGATTGGGACATTTAAATTTAATTTGGTATATTTAAATAAATTTGATACGAACCTGACTTTAGCAAGAAAACAATCCCAAATTAAATCTGTAGTCAACGTAAATTCCAAAATGTCCAATTCGACAATTTGGATACATTGATAAAAACACTAGTATAGACATTAAAGACCTTGAATTGGTTGCCGTGGCAAGTGCGTATATTTGTATTTTAACGCGGAAATGAAACATTCAACACTCTTCTTTGTTTATTGTTAGAACTATTCAACACTCTTTTTAACAAAAAAAAAAAAAAAAAATTACTATTGAACATTCTTCATTGTCTATCTTTTCTTTTAAAAACTCTTTAGTCGTGTTTTTTTCTTAGTCGCTGAACTAGCGACAGCGACACAAAAAAATAAAAGGCCCAAATGCTTTACTTAATAGGCCCATGTAGAGAAAACCAGCGACAACTTTAGTTTTATAAAAAAACAAAAACGATCGGAGATGGAGTCGCCGGAAAAACCAGCGTTCACCGGCGACACCAAATTTTCCAAAATTAATGTTGTAGCCTTTTTCAATTTGTCGCTGGGTTAGTTTTAGCGACACTTAATTACATAAATTTAGTGTTTTTTCCGGTCGCTAACTTCGGTTGCGATCGATAAAAGAACAGGGCTTTTATCGCCTATCTCTGAGTTCGGCATGATTGAGTCCATATTGATTCCAAAAGCTTGCATGTGCCTTCATTTATAGTTGCCCAATAATTATTTTTCAAAAGTTCAAGATCACTTATTTATTATTATTTTTTTTAACGTCTTGTATTAGAATAATAAAATGAAGAAAAGAGTCACAACAGTTCAAATAAACAGAGAAAACAGAGCACTAAACCATGAAAAAAAACAGAGCCATAAAGACCAACACCAACATCGTGAAAAAGACCCGCCTCCGACTCAAATCACTTCAACCATGTCTACGTTCTGCCTCTATTCGCGACTGTAACCAAGCTGGTCCTCCGGAAGCTAAGTAAGAATTGAAACGACCTTTTCGTGTAACACTACAAGCAATATCCCTAGCCAAAGTATTGGCTTTCGGTGAAGAGATCTTAAAGTTCACATCCCGCATCACCTGTATCACTTGAGCAATTTTGTTAAGAAGAGATCGATATTTTGGCCAGTTTGCTGGCTGTTCCAAAGCTCGTATCGCTGCGCTGCAATCCGACCATATTTCACAAGAATGAATCCGCACATTATGGAGACTTCGAAGACACCACAATATACAGAACAACTCTGCAGCCACGCGATTGATCATGGGCAGGAAGGCGTCCCGGGCATGTAGTACAGCATATCCCATATGATTTCGTAGCAGCCAAGCCCCGCCACAATGTAGAGATTCATTTACCTAAGACGCGTGTACATTACACTTAAGACCTCCCCAAGATGGTTTGAGCCAAAAAATTTCTACCCGTACCGTCTGCCTGTTCCACACTTTCGTCCCTTGGGAAATAATCAAACTTTGTTGAATCCATTCCTCTGCCTCCTCTAAAGCCGACGCAATGAGAATGTTCGGGTTACTAGCCTGTCCTGCGAAAATAGTCGAGTTTCGTGCTTTCCATATACCCTATAAGAGCCAAGGGATGGCATCACGCATGTTGGCAGGTAAGGATGTGTTTGCCATTAAGTTTATCACATAATTTATATTCTCATCAATTGAGGCTGTAAATCCATTAGCCGGAAGTGACAAGGCTGAAACTTGCCACACTAAAGCTGCAAGGGTACACCCAAACAAGACATGCGAGATCGTTTCCTCCTGACTTTGACAAATTTGGCACATCGGGTTGATCAGTAGACCATGACGTCTCATACAATCCGCAACTGCAATTGCTCCAGACAGCACGCGCCAAATGAACATTTGTATTTTGGGGGCTGTCTTTAGAGTCCAAATGCGATCCTTAATCTTGTTTAAAGCATGTGTATCGTCAGTGATAATCTCCTGCATACTTCCAGCCTTATTTAAGAGCCAATTACCACTTTTAACTGAATATTGGCCATCTTTCGTGTAAGCCCATATATATCGATCCTCCAAGCTTGGTTCCGGAGGAAAGGATCGAATTTTAATAACATCACAGGGTGGAAAAAACTCATTTAAGAGTTGAGAATTCCATTCACCATCTACTGTTATCAATGAGCTTACCTTTAGACTTATATCCATTAGGGACTCTTTATTCATTGGACGTCTCGGGATGCCATCAAAGATCCATTTGTCAATCCAAATATGTGTATTCTGTCCATTGCCTATAGCTTTCATGAGCCCTCGTTCAAGTAATTCTTTCCCAAAAATAATGCTTCTCCATGCATATGACGGCCTATAACCCGCTGTAGCCTCAAGAAGAGTTTTCTGAGGATAATACCTTGCTTTAAAAACACGGGCCAGCAAGGAGTTAGGTACATCCAATAATCGCCAAGCTTGTTTAGCGAGTAGGGCTTTATTAAACCATCCTATGTCTCGGAAACCCAGTCCTCCTTGTGCCTTAGATTTACAAATCTTTTCCCATGAGACCCAGTGCATCTTCTGCTTCTCTTCGCGTTCATTCCACCAAAAATTTGACATAGCGCTTGTAATCTTTTGGCATTGATACTTTGTAAAACGGAAGCACGACATTGCATAAACCGGTAGAGCTAACGCCACAGATTTAATGAGTACCTCTTTGCTGCCTAATGATAGAGTCTTCTCATACCAACCACTAAGTCTTGATTTTAGTCGGTCTGTAATAAAACCCAGAAGCTCTCTCTTGGATCCGCTAAAACATTCGGGAAGCCCAAGGTACTTGCCTAACCCCCTTCTTGTTCAATCTCTGTAAATAAACCCAGCAAGCGCTTCATGTACGGGTCTAGCTTCTTGCCAAAGGTGATCGCCGATTTTTGAAAGTTGATTTCTTGTCCTGAGGCCCTCCCATATACACGCAGGCATGTCAAGAATTCCGTGCATTCTTTGAAAGTAGCTTGACAAATAAACAAACTATCATCAGCGAATAATAGGTGCTGGATCGATGGACACGATGGAGTTAACCGTAATCCCGTCAATCGGCCTTCTTGTTCAGCTTTATTCATTATGTGAAGTAGAGCTTCAACACAAAGAATAAATAGAAAAGGCGAAAGTGGATCACCCTGTCGAAGTCCTCTCTCAGGTTTAATATATCCATAAGATGATCCATTGATAAGTACAGAATAAGAAACCGATCTTACACAGCTCATAATCCATTGAACCCAACGGATGTCGAAACCCAAACGGATGAGTAATTCTTCTAGAAAGTTCCATTCAACTCGATCGTACGCTTTAAACATGTCGGTTTTAATGGCCATGAAATCTTCATCACAGTTGGAATTTGTGCGTAAGGCATGTACCATTTCATGTGCCAAGAGAATATTATCAGAAATTAGTCTACCCGACACAAAAGCACCCTGTGTGTCTGAAACTATTGCTGGAAGAAAGGTCTTCAAACGATTACACATGATCTTAGAAACAATCTTGTAGATGACTGAGCAGAGACTAATAGGGCGTAAGTCTGTCATTCTTGATGGATTTGGCTTTTTCGGGATTAAACAAAGCTGTGTAAAATTCCATTCATGTGGAAGAAAACCAGACTGAAAAAACTGTTGAACCTCTGTAACAACCTGTGGTCCAACAATATCCCAATAAGCTTGATAAAAAAGACCAGACATCCCGTCCGCTCCCGGAGTGCTATCTCCACGTATACTAAAGGCTGCGATCTTGACTTCATCAGCTGTAACTATTCGAGTAAGCTCTACATTCATGTTTGCTGAAACTCATGGTAACAAACCTTCAAGAGCTTCTGTTAGGTTATCCGGCTTGGAGCTGGAAAATAGTTTCCGGGAATATTCAACAGCTATCTCTCCTTTGGAACCCTCAGCAAATTGCTCCACTTCATTATTATCAAAGAGAGACAGTATACGATTTTGTGCCCGTCTCCTTTGCACACTTCCATGAAAGAATTTCGTATTTCTGTCTCCCTCCTTTAGCCATCGTTCGCGACTCTTTTGTTTCCAATACAATTCTTCTGCACGATACGCTTCAGCTAGTTCCCACTTTAAAGATTTCAATAGGTTACGGTTTGGCTGTGTCTTAACGCCCTCATCTTCAAGTCTCTGGCGTAGCTGATTAATTTGCTCTTTAGAATTCTGATTAGAAATTCTTTTCCAACGGGATATTGATTTGCGACAATCAGAAATTCTTTGGAGAATTGCTTTGTAACCTTCCGCTTCACCTTTACACCAGCTTTCTTTGATGATTTCAACAACTTCTGGCTTT